CCTGCTGGGGGAGTTCATGGCTCATGGGTAAAACTCAGGCTGGGAACTAACTCTGAATGGGGGCAGAGTGTGGTTAGGATTCTAGGGGTGGGATTTGACTTGTGCTTACTGGAGGGTGGGGAGGAGCGGTTGGTCTGTTGGAATGTAGGGGGAGTGCACAATCTAAGAGGCAGTTGGGAGAGGCCCTGAGCAAAGAGGTCGGTTGGGAGAATGACGTCACAGTTGGAGACGGGTCAAGGGATAAACCGTGAAGGTGCCGAGAGCCGGAGTAGGAAACTGGAGGGCCACTGACCTGAGAAAGAGGTAGGTCCTGCATCTACTGTTCCTGGGTCTATGAGAAGCACCTGACGACAGATTCCTTCTCTGCAGGGTCGCACAGTCTAGAGTGGGAGACCAGCAGGGCCATGATGACCTGGGCTTCTGCAGAGAAGGGCCTTGGCCCTTTAAAGGAGGTACTAGGGGTGAGCTGCCCAAGGCTCAGTCTAGAGTTGGGGGCTAGGAGCTGGGGCTGGTTGGGTTTCAGAGGAAGACAGCCATCCATGCAGATCAACCCCACCGGGCTCTGGAAATGTCAGTCTGTTGGTCAAAGAATGAGACTAAGCTCAGAATGAAGAATTGAGATTTGCCGCTACAAACATCAGAGGAGAAGTTACGGAGGGAAAAAGTGTGACCTAAGGGTCATGGTGTGGCCAAGGCGGTCTCTCCTTGGAAGCCATAAGAAAGAGTGGTTAGGAGAGGGGACTTGAACCAACGATCCGGTTCAAACTCCTGTGAGGCTCATGTGCAAGCTTGGTCCTTGAGTTTTTTGCACCTTTCAGTTGGAGGGTGGATAGAGCCCATCTGAAAGCATTGTGGGAAAGTCCCATAAACAATTCGATAAAACCCACTTTACTATGTGTGCAGTGCTCGAGTAACGCCACCGTTAAGTAGGGGTCAAGAAGACATTGAAGAAGCAGCTCCAGGGGCCACAGAATCCCAAGGCGATGTGAAATCATGGGTGACCCGGGACAGTCAGTTTGAAGGAGGAAGTCATCGTGACATCGAGCGGCCGCTGGATGCCGGGTGAGTACCCGAATCAGCACAGGCAGCTGTCCTTGTGCCTTAGGAGGGAATTTCTATAATCCCCCGACTGCGTGTAACGAGCTCACCATCACGAGAGGGTTTCTTACACTTCCTGTTCTGATCTGGACCTTAAATATTAACTAGGCCCTGCATTGAAAAGGCCACTCTCTCTCTCTCTCAGAGGTTTTTTGCCTTAGGGTGTGTGTGCTTTCTGGAGGGAGAGAGATAGACACAGTGAAAGGGAAAGTGAGAAATCACCTCCTGGGGGCGGGGGGGGGGGGGAGGGGCAGTAATGTGGGGGGGGGGGGGGGGAGATGGCCACCCTGCAATCCTTCTCTATTCTCCTCCCGGGATCTTGGGGACACACACATGTACCCAGCGTAATTTTCAAGCCACTGGTTCCGGGACTCAAACTGCACTGTTGGCCACGTGGGAGTCCAGCAATATAACTGCTATGTCCTTCGCTGGTCTCAAGGCTGCTGTCTCTTAAAGATGGCCATTTGCAGGACACCTTCCAAGGGCCATGGGTTGGACAAATGCCGGCAACCTTGAGATGAAATAGTCTCGAGGTGTATCCTCAGTGAGCGCCCACAGTGAGGGATCCTGCTGGAAGTCCTCTTCTTCCACTGTGCCGTGCCCAGGACAGGATGGAAGTGACCCCAGGTCTTTCAAAGGCCAGACTCATCTCCTGGTTCAAACACCTGGCTCCCTGCATCTGCATCACCTCCACTTTGCCCAGAGTTCTTGGCCTCCTTGCGGAGCCGGTCTGTACTGAGCCTTCAGCTACTCCAGCGTTACCTTCCTCTGCTGCCCAGGCCTTTCTGCTACCCGGTCACGACAGCCCCTCTCCTGCCCGGTTACCGTTACCTTGATCCGTCTTGCTGATTCGGTTTGAAATGCAGCTCTTCTCTCCACCAGTCACCGCAATCGAATCCACGCTCCTGCACAAGCGCAGCCCGCAGGAAGTCTTCACGCACTGACCTTCCGTCTCCACCATTTTCCTCGAGTTAGAGATGCTTCCGCAGCACGACCACAGGTGAGAGAGCGTGCCTGGCCGATGCCACACGTGCCCATCCTGAGTGGTACATGAACACAGGCGCTCCCTGAGCCCGGCAGTGTCTTAGCCACCCCTGGGATCCCCACAGCTCTGGGGAAGTGCCGAGACCCCGCCAAACTCCCACCGCGTCACTGCCATCTTGTGGCCAGGCCCACTTCTGGGCTGCAGGAGCAGGTGCTGTTGGAGAAAGCACCGGACTGTGGGGCAGGGTCTTGCAGTCTGTGCCAGCTCCCCAGCACATGGCCAAGTTCCGCGAGCAAATGGATTCTTCTGCCGGGTTTCAATCTCTGTGGCTTCAGTCTCTGCATCTCTGACCTGTGGGTGTGGTGTGGCATCTCCCCAAGGGCTTTTTGGTAAGGAGGACCAGAAGTTTTGGAAACTTTCATGTGTATCCTCCCCTGGAGAATCCACTAAAATGCAGATTTATGATTTCATGGCTTTGGGGTGAATCCTGAGAGTTTGCATTTCTACCAAGCCCCCTGGTGACCTTGGTGCCGATGGTCCGTGAACCAAGCTTTGAGTTAGAAAGGTCTAGCCCAGGGGTTCCCAGCCCCAGTTCAACAGGGTAACCTGAGATCTTGCTGCTTCCTGCCGCTCCCCCCGCCCCCCATTTTAAAGTTCCTCTGGGAGACTGCACAAAGTCTGAAGCAATAGTTGCACCCCAGGCCCATTGGATCAGAACTGGGGTGGGGGTGGGGTTGGGAGCCTGGCATCAGCAGTGTTCATAGCTTCTCTGATGAGTTCCATGTGCAGACGATGATGGAACCACGGGCTATTTGTGCGCGGAGCAGACCCAAAATGAGACCCTCCCAGGTAAAGTGGGTCTTCTGCTGCCCCCTGGTGGCCATCCTGTGCACTCACAGATTTCAAACTCAGATTTCCCAAGAGACCTAACAGAACCCTACCAAAAAATAAAACAAAAAAGGCCGGAGGGAGGCAGCGCCCCAGCAGGGAGGGTCCCTGGGGCAGAGCCCAGCCACCCACCCCGCAGCAGGCTGATCGCAGGCACCGCAGAGGGACTTAGTGAGCCTCTGCTCTGGAGTCTCTACAGCCACACTTTCTATTATGTCCCCTTCCGGCTCCTAACCTGGACCTCGCCATAATTGGCTCCCATCCCGATCAAGGTCCATCCCATGGGCCGCCCCGAGCTGTGGGGCCAAGCCTCTGCTTTTAACCCCTCACCCGATCCTACTCACACAAATCCAGCGCCCTTGTCCCCGGGTTTCCATCCCTCTCAGGCCTCCCCTCGCCATAACTGCCCAGGGTGAACTTGCTCCCTGCCCCGGACCTGCTGGGACACTTCTCCAGGCACGACTCCTCCGCACCTCCTCTTCCCTGGGAGACTTCCCTGAGGGGCAAATTGTGCTTTAGACTTTCCGACGCCCCGCAGCAGTGCGTATTTCCTGCGTCCTGAATTCTCGAGTGTCCAGATGGCGGATGGGCTTGTGCTGGGCTCAGGAAACCCATGCTCACTGGCAGGGTCAAGCTAGGAGCATTGTAGGAATCCCATCAGAGAAAGGCCTGGTCAGAGCAGGTGGTCCTGCCAGCGAGACCGGCGGGTTCTCAAGCAGAAAACCACTGAGCGGCCGGAAGTAGCTGAGACAGTGGGGAAGGGAGGGAGGAGCATGGGCTGTGTCCGTTTCTTTCTCTGTCAGTGCCTTTCCCCTCTCTCCGACGTCTCTTTCCTCTTCACAGTTCAACTCAGACATCATCTCCAGACTGACCTCCTTGGCACCGGGCCCTTTCTCTACTCCCCCAGCCTGCTGTGCTCATCTTCATCAAATCTGTGCTTCATTTTTTTTTTTTTTTTTTTGGTCACTTGCCTCCAGAAACTCCTCAGGCTGGGAAGGGGACACAAAACAGTGTCTGGTCATTTCTGGGCCCCAAAGTGCCAGTACCTGTGGCTGTCATGCATAAAGCCATTAACAGAGGACGCTAAGTGGACCACAGGCCACGATGCAGGAGAGGGAAAGCATCTTATACACGGTGGGCATGGTTTGCTCCATCAACAGGGATGCTAGGATCTCCCAGGTGGGAGAGTGGAAGGACAGACCCTCAGCTTTCCTGGGTGCGGACCACAAGGAATCATATGCAGAGCAAGGTTTTGGTTGCTCAGCAGTTAGCCAGCAGGTGGCACTGTGGCCCCATCCGTAGGTCCTCCCTTGGCTTTCCGAGAGCTGGCGCCCTCTGCTGACCTGAGTGGCACGATGCCCTGTGTGGAGCTGCGGCAGGTCAGGAGGTCCCTCCCCTGGCTGGGGTCCTGTCCCCC